TTTTTTTTTTTTAAATGAAGTAATTATTTCTTAAGATAATCAAGCAGAACAACACAGGAGTACTTTATATGAGAGAAATTAGAAAGAATGTCATAAAATGAGTAAGAAATGGGTAAAGAGACTGATTAATGGAGAAAATAAAAAGAACATAGAATAAGATTGGGAGAAAATGAAAATGTCTAGTTTATGTCCAGAGGAAGCCAACTGGACTTTAATCAAAGGCAGGCTCCATCCAGCATTTTTCAGGCAAAAGACAAAATACTTGGTTGGACCAGGATTCCTTTCTTAAAAGGAAGGATATAAAAACCACAAGCATCCCATAATAATTTGTCTTAAGTAACTTATCTACTCACCATGGTCCACAAGCCAGGCCATACATAAAGAATTCAGCTTTTCATCAAAGAATTCCACACCCTATAGATACAGAATATTCTATTAATACAGCTCTAAAATTCAGAAATTCATTTATATCATACCAAGGCAATCTAAAATGTAATACAGACTTGTATTCACATAAGCTGAATTCAAGAAAACCGTGGGATTTACACACAAGCTGGAAGTACATTTTATTGGGTGGAAATAATAAACAAAAGCACATATGAGACACTATAGGTCCTTCTAAATTGGAGAAAAGAGTGTGGTTTGGAGCCAGACACAAAGCTGTAGATTAAGAACTGCTAGAAAATCTCTACATTATTTGTAAAAATGAATCACCCAAGAAAACACCTATTAGTATTATCACTTTGTTGTTGTTTTTGTTGTTAAGTGCCTTCAAGTTGGTTCCGACTCACAGTGACCCTCTATAGGGTTTCCTAGGAGCAGCTGGTGAGCTTGAACCACTGACCTTGTGGTTCATCAACAGACCTCACAGTCCAGTGCATTAACCTACAGCGCCACACGAGGACTAAGGATGAAGAAACGGACCCCAAGAAGTACAGATGTCTCTAAGGAAAGAGAGAGTATTGCTGGGATGATAGGAGGAAGCAGATATAAAACTACAGGTAGCCTCATGAGTAGAAACATCCCAGTTTTCCCAGCTGTACTCTTCCTGACAGTCAATGTGTGGTGATTTCAGAACAGGCTGAGAGTGAGCTTGTGCGACTGATTCACACAGACCTATCTATTATCTATCACCTGGGGTCTTTTACACAATGTAGATGGATGTTGTGATATATACTTTATTAGTGCCTCCCACCTTAGGGTCTATATGATTACAGTCTTTTTTTTTTTTTTTTTTTTTTTTCGGCTTCTAAGAAGTTCTTAAACAGTGATTTATATTTTAAATAAATTGATGCTTATCCTACAGTGCCACACCAGGACTCCATGCACTATGGCAGATCCTGGAAATGAATCATTCAACAAACATAATTCCTACCATAAAAAAGATCACTAGCCTGTCTTCCCCAATAGAATTAAAGTTATAATATACTGTAATAAGTCAAGTACTTCAAATTATTTGGTCTGGCCCTGCCAAGGCAACTGCAGTCCAGCCATTACATTGTTGTTAAGTGCTGCTGAATCACTTTCAACTCATAGCAACCCTGTATAAGATTTCCAAAGAGCAGATGGTGAGTTTGAACTGCCGACTTTGTGGTTCAAACTGACCTTGCGGTCCAGTGCTTTATTCCACAATGCAACACCAAGACGCCAGCCATCACATTTTGTTTTTTTTGTGAAGTGCTGTCAAGCCAGTTCTGACCTATAATGAGTCTGTGAGCTTGTATAGGGTTTCTGAGTAAAGGTTGGTAAGTTTGAACCACCAACCTTGAAGTTCAAACAGACCTTGCTGTCCAGTGCATTATCCCACAGCACCACACCAGGACTCCTAGTCATCACAATGATGGCGGTGGTGGTGTGCCGTGGAGATGGTTCCAACTCATGGCAACCCTGCATAGGGTTTCCAAGGATGTAAATCTGTATGGGAGCAGAAAGCCTCATCTTTCTTCTGCATAACAGCTGGTAGTTTCGAATTGCTGACCTTGACTAATTTTTAAGTTGATAATTTTGTAAAGCCCACGAATAATGTTATAAATTTAGGCAGAAAAGATTCCCCACCCCAGTGTAGGGAATCTGCTAAAAATGGAAGGAAAGAACGCAGCTATAAAACCCAGCCTTGAAATTTTAATCCATGTCATCAGTAATAATCATGAAACCTACACATTAAGTGTTAATGTGATTACATAAGTCTTTGATCACACTAGTATTACAAGCTCTAATACTTCCTTTTTACAAGGTAGTGCCTCAATTTCCTTTAACCTATATTGCTATTGTTGTAAGTACCATGAGTAGATTCTGACTTACAGCAACCTTGTATACGGTTTACGAGGAGCAGCTGGTATATTTGAACCGCCAACCTTGCTGTTTCAAATTGACCTTGCTGTCAAGTGCCACACCCGGATTTTAACCAGCATACAGGAAACATTTTATTTAAGGACATTTTGCTCAGAACACAAACAGGGAAGTTACTTTGAGCAAAATCAAATCTGGTATCTTAAAAGTGAACTCCCAGTTAAAAATTACTTAAGTCACAGAGACATTAAAAAAAAAAAAAAAAAAAACACTATTATTGTTATAAGGAGCTCTGGTAGCGTAGTGGTTATGAATCAGGCTGCTAACCTCAAGGTCGGCAGTTTGAAACTACCAATGGTTCCACGGTAGAAAGATGAAGCTTTCTGCTCCCGTAAAGATTTACAGCCTTGCAAACCCTGTACAGGGTCTCTATGAGTCGGAAACGACTCCATGGTACTTAACAATTATTGTTATGTCGTTTTCAGTTAGTGGTGAGGTGAATCATGTTTCCATATATGAGGGGGCTTCAAAAAGTTCATGAAAAAATGGAATTAAAAATAATGAAATTTTTCCATGAACTATTTATGTATATTTCTATAAAATATTTTGTAAGTTAATGTACTATAAGAAAATTAAAACTATCCTGTGGGTAACTAGCACAGAACAGAATCATATGAGCAATTTGGGCCTACTGCATGACACGCTATAATTCACAGCTTAGCTCACGGAGCATATAAACTCACCAGCTGACCCGCCAGCAGTGGCATATACTCAATGATGGCCAGCCGGACCCTCCACTTGGCATCTTCAGCCAGCTCCACGATGGCAGGAAGCAGAGACTGAGAGAGCTGACAGATTCCAATCACTTCATTTACACAATCCAAATTCGATATGATATTCAAACGAACTTCAGGACACTGCAAGTACAAACCCCCAAAAGAACACATACATATCAAGTTCCTCACCTAAGTCTCTCCTTAAAATAAAAAAGTATTAATGTAAGCTAAATAAAATATATAGTCTTAAAGGAAATGCTTAATACTGGTTACACAAACAGTTTTAATGCATTTCAGTGGAACTGATCTTAATCAGAACATTCAACAGGTTGGCATTCAAATTCCAGATCTGCCATTGCCAAAAGACCTTGGATGAGTTATTTTATTTCTGTGCTTTGGCATCCTCTTCTGTAAAATGGGGATAATAATATGAACTAAACCCCAAAAGATTATTGTGAGATTAACATGTAAAAAACTCAAGCTAACACAAACAAAAACCATACATGTAAGGCACATAGGCTCATGCCTAGCACACAAACTAGTAAATAAACAAGCAAAAAAACCCCACTCATAGCAACCCTATTGGTGGTGGTGGTTATGTGCCGTGGAGTCAGTTCCGACTCATAGTGAGGTATAGGGTCTCTGAGGTTGTAATATTTACAGTAGTACACTGCCTCATCTTTCTCCAGTGGAACAGCGGGTAGATCTGAATCAACAAGCTTTCAGTTAGCAGCCAAGCACTTAACCACTGTGTCATCAGGACTCCTTAACTAACCAATACATGTTATCAATATGTTTTATATTATTACATCTAAATTTAAATGTAATCACTTTAGAATAAAGATACATTAGGTTTAATAAAAAGCCAGTGCATATAAAGCAAGAATCAGGCAAACTGTATAAACAAGATATTTTTGGTAGTCTGTTTCAGTGAATTCTTGTGCCCATTTTCTAGGGAGCCTGCAAGCCCCATACTCAAACACAGGGATTGTCATTGGCTTAAAACAGGTTACTTTTTTATATACTCCACTCATCCCTGTTTCTGGTCCTACTTTAATAAACCCCAAACCAAAATCCACTTATCAATGACTATCAAAGGCAATAGGATTTATAGCCAGACTTACCTCATCCTTTAACTGAGCTAAAAAAAGAGGTAGAAGATGTTCAACGGTATTTTCTTTGCCCAAAATGGTAGACAATCCCATAATTACAGAAGCTAGAGCTGATTTGACATGTTGATTTGTATCAGAAACTAATTCCTAAAATAAAATAAAAATTAAAAGCCTTTCTTTTTTGAAAGGACAGCAGAAACTTCTGTGCCAATGATAAATAACAACATCACAATTAACATGATGGCCCCGCTCTCCCGTGTTCACCTTTTTAAACTCATGGAATGTTAAGTGAAACGAAAACACTTGAGGTAAGGGCATAAAGGGCAGAGTGAAACAAAATACAGAGTGAAGTTAGATTTACCTTTATATAGGGTAGAATTTGATTCATAATTATGGTCTCTCTACCTTCAATGGGTAAGTTCTCACAGAGTTCTAAAAGTGATCAATAGAAAAAGAATGCTTTACATATAGTCATTTATAAAAAGGCAATAAGCAAATTTAACCAGGTTTATCAATAGTTACAAGTCAAATCAAATTATATGCTTAAAATATAAGGGCAAAACGGCTCTTGTTCTCTAACTGCACTTTGTCTTCAATCTGTGTGCCACTGTGCATACATAACAATGTAACCTGAAAAAAGCAATTAACAGCAATAGGAGAGAAAAAAAAAAGGTGTCTGGTATGAAACATTAAGGAAGCAGATTTATATAACAATGTAACATTTCCACACACTGAATTCAACTCTATTTATTTGAAAAACATATTCTGGAACAGAAAACAAATGCTAAATTAACTGACATTTTTGAAATGCACCTAAATGAATGAGAAATGTTGCAACATAACTGAACTCCTTAACCTTTCACTTTGTGGGCAGCAGCTGCTCGGACTTCAGCTTCACAGTCCTTAAGAAGGTTCTGAAAGGCGGGGATGAGGTCACTGAGGGTGATTTTGGGACCCACAGCTTTCTGGAGCTATAAAAGACATTTGTACAGGTTTTAATGAACACTAACAAATTAACAAGAACAAAACAAAAGAGCATAATCTTCAAGCATAACTTTTTGCCACTAACATTTCCTGCTGAAAAGAATTAAACCAGACATTTTTTTGTGTAACAGTAAATCTGAAGGGTTTGTTTTTGGTTTACTTTTTAGTACTAAGGAAAATGCTGGTGGAGTTAATTTTACCTCTGAAAATTTGTCAGCTACCATATATCGAACTCGCCAAGATTTATCTTCCGCTGCCTGTCGAAGTGTAGGCATCACCAAAGTCTCAAGGTCATCCTGAGTCAGTATCTGGGCAATACTGACACAGGCTTCCACAGCTAGGAGACGCACCGAATCCTAAAGGAACAAAATGTCTTTTTGTTGTGTTGCTCATTGTTATCAAGTCAGTTTCAACTCATAGCAGTCCTGTATAGAATTTCTTGCTACTAGTCCAACAATATTTACTGAGAACCAGGGGGTATATGGTTGGGTGCAATAGAATCTACTCTGACTCACAGGAGCACTGGTGGTACGATGGTGAAGCACTCAAATCCTAACAGAAAGGTTGGGGGTTTGAACCTACCCAGTTGCTTCACAGGAAAAAAGACCCGGCAAAGGGCTACCATAAAGATTAAAGCCTATAGGAAACCCAATAGGGCAGCTCTACTCTATCACACGGGATCATTACGAGACAACATCAACACAGACGCACCTAACAACACCAACTTGTGGTGTGTGCAAGGGGCAGTGCAGTGGTTGTTTATAAAGAAACTTCACCCCTGTAGTTTCATGTCTTTGTGTTTTGAAACAGCTGGCTTCTTTGCCTGAGAGGGTCTGTCAAAGCCATAAAGAGAAAACTACTTCGTTCTGTGTAAATTGTACACTAATTACCTTCATTGGCATGTTTTCTTTTGTTGTTGTTTTTTTTTTTTTTTAATTAAATGAAAACAAAAGATTAGATTACAAAGAAAGGAAATTTTAACCATGTCTTCAAAACCCTTCTATAATAGGAAGCTTAAAGATGAAAACTACACAGATGAGAACAGAAAGCAATTAGGACTCAGAGAAAGTGACAGCTCTGAGCCCTAGGACACCTTAAGTATGAGTGATAATGACTTGGAAAGAAATACAAAGAACAAAATGAAAGAGCAAATTTTTAAAATCTACTCAATTTAAACGTGGAAACTCAAGAACAGAATACATGTTTAGTAAAACACAACAGAAAAAAAGCAGGATAGTATTAATGAACTCTGCTCTTCCAATGCTAATTGCCGAGTGTCAATGTGGCATTACTATCCTTTAAGCAAATAAATATACAGTTAGGCAAATTAATGAGAAATTAGAAATGCAAATTCCAGATATGAGAATCAGACTAATATATAAACTGAAAATCAGTTAACAAGTAAAAATGTAAACAGCCCATGAGAAATATGATAAAACATGTTTAATATATACTGTATGTATGTATGTTTACATGTATGGAGCCCTGGTGTGGCGCTATAGGATAAATACTGGAATGCTAACCACAAGGTGGGTGGTTCAAACACACTAGCCACTCCTCAGGAACCCTTTATAGGGTTGCCATGAGTTGGAAACAACTTGACAGCACTCAACAACGTACAGATGTATACACATTTATAAACATATGCAGAGAGAGATTAACAGTGACTCCAACTTTTCAAAATAATTGTAATCTAAAATAATTAAAAGACCATATTGTCTATAAGTTCTGGGTGGCCATTACAATGGATTATCAAACCCAACAGAGATGTAGAGTGCCGTGGGAGAGATGCACGGTAGAGGCAGTCTGACCTCTGCCTCATGGGCTTACGTGGAGTTTGATTCTCCTTCCTTCAATCTTGTGAAGCTGGAAATCAGACACAGCCTCCATGCCATTTTTGCATCATTCAAGATGACCACCAACATGTCTTTCAAGCATTTATCAACTGGTCATTCTGTTTCTATTCTTGCCCTTTTACACTTTAGTTCCCACTCATAATGATCATTTAAAAATGAAAATTGTACTATGCTTAAAATCTCCAAAGCACCTAGGGAAAAAAATATCTGAACTCTTCCCTGGCTTAAAGGCCTGCCTTCATTGGCCCCTGGCTCTTTTCCTATCTCATCTCAGACCAAGATTTTCACTCATTCTGTCCAGCTATTGGGCCTTTAATCTAGATGTCCTCTTTTCCTGGAGCTGAAACTTTTCTTTCAGGTCTCAGGTGATCTGGCCTCTTCCTCAGCAAACTTCTCTGACCAGCTAGTTTACAGGAATGCCCAGCTCTATCATTATCACCCTACTTTATTTTCATACTATCATTTAACCTGATAGTTTTTGCTTATTTAATCTGTTTTCCTCAATTACAATGTAAACTGCATAAACACAAGGTCTATATGCCTTAACACTGTATCCCAACAATAACTAGAACAGTACTTGATATATAGTAGATATTCAACAAATATTTTTTTAACCAATGGATGACCCACGAACAGCTCTTCTAACAGTAGTTGGGGGGGAAGGCTTCAAAAAGTTTGTGGAAAAAAATTCCAATCTCTTTTAATTCCATTGTGCACAAACTTATTAAAGCCCCAACTGTACATCTGATAACTAGGTACTTAGTAGTTTTTGGACATCAACTGTTGCTACGATAACAAAAATAGACTAGCTGTCATATACTGCCTGATAAAAAGCATTCTACTACCCATGAACTGGTCTTATTGACCCAAAAATATCAGGCAGGACCTCAAGGTGGTTTGAACCACAAGATTGGAGGTTCATACTCACCAGTTCCTCCTTGGAAACCCTATTCTGGGTAGCTATGAGTTTGGAACTGACTGGATGGCACTTAACAACAAACAACACATCTGATTAAGCCTCTACGGAGAGGTGGAGCAAACTGGTCAAATCTGGGCCAACACTACTTTTCATAAATAAAGTATTATTGGAACACTGCCAGGCATTAGTTTACACATTGTTTGTGGCTGTGTTTAAACTACAACAGCAGAGTTGAGTCATTTCAACAAACTGGTCAACAATGCCTAAATTATTTACTATCTGACCCTTTAAAGAAAATCTGCAAGTTCCTTTTCTATATTTCTTTCTAGAAACATGAGTCTACTGAGCACCTGAAATGTGGTTCGTGCCATACGGTCAAATGCTATTTTGGCTACACTGGGTTAAATAAAATACAAGCCTATATCATTTTGCTGCACTTCACAGATGCTGCGTTTTTTACAAATTAAAGGTCTGAGCAATCCTGCATTGGGCAGGTCTACTCGCGTCATTTTATTCAACCGCATATACTCACTTAATGTCTCTATGTCAAATTTGGTAATTTTCGGGATTTTTCTAACTTTCTCCTAATTCTATCGCATATGTATAAACTACCAAACACACCAAACACTGCTGTAGAGTTCAGTCCAACTGACAACGGCCTTACAGGGCAGAGCTGTTGTTGTTGTTGTTGTGTGCCGTGGACTCAGTTCCGACTCATAGCCACCCTCCATAGGGTTTCCAAGGCTGTAAATCTTTACGGGAACACAAAGCCTCATCTTTCTCCCGTGGAACAGCTGGTAGTTTCAAACTACTGACCCTGAGGTTCGCAGCCCAATTCGGAACCACTGTGCTACCAGAGCTCCTAGAACTGCTCTATAGGGTTTCTGAGGTTGCAAATCTTTACAGAAGCAAATTGCTCATCTTTCTCCCACAGATCAGCTGGTGGGTTCAAACCACCAACTTTTCAGTTAGTAATCAAACACCTTAGCCCACTGTATACTATGGTACCTTTAACAGACTACAGTATAGGGTAAACATAACTGGAACAACAGGAAAACAGTAAGTTCAAGTAACTCACTATACTGAGGTAGGCTATAACCAATCTTGCAATATATCGCTGAGGTATGCCTGTATCTCAATACTATTCATTTCACCTATTTCATTTTACTTTTTAAAATGTGACTAGAAAAATTTAAATGATAAAGGTGAGCATATTCAAGCATTGTGAATCCTGCAACCAACGTCACTGAAAATTTTGTGTAAAAAATCGCTGAATGGGAGCCTAAACTGCTGTGTAAATCTTTACAGAAAACACAGTAAAACAAGAAAAAAAAAAATTGCAGATGGCTTACAATTCTCTTGGAGTGAACTATAATATTTTGGAGCATATATTTGGCTAAGTACAAACAAAAGTAAGGACTGTCATAAAAGTCAGGATCAGTTATTCTTAGGAGAATGAGGGACTGTGCAGAAAGCATGTGGAGGCTCCTGGGGTAGCAGCTGGCAAAGTTTTATTTTCTCTCAAAGATGAAACACAAGGGTGTTCACCTTACTATAATCCATTACACTGCATATTTATTTCATGATGCTGTCTGTTATTTCAACAACTAATTTTTAAATTTTTCTAAGTACAATTTAAGGAGCTCTGGTAGCATAGTGGTTACAAATCAGGCTGCTTTCCTCAGGGTCAGCAGTTCGAAACTACCAGCTGTTCCACGGCAGAAAGATGAGGCTTTCTGCTCCCGTAAAGCCTGTACAAGGTCACTATGAGTCAGAACCAACTCCACAGCAAATAGCAACAACAAGAAGTATAATTTATCACCTTTAATTTAAAATCTCAAAATGAGACGTCAGAAGGTGTCCTGGTGTTCTTGGTCCTATACACATGAAGTGATTGTAGGGCAGGCACTAAGCACATTAAACCCCAGGTGACAGAGAGCAGCATTCCGTCCTGCTTGTGATGGTTAAGAACTCTGGAGTCATACTGCTTAGATTCAATCCTGATACAGTTAATTATGCAACCGGAGCGAACTTAAATTCTCTGTGCCTCCAATTTCCTACCCGCAAAATGGGGTATCTAACTGATGAACATAGTGTGAGGATTCAAATACTAAAAAGGGGTTTCAAAAAGTTTGTGGAAAAATTATATGATCTTCAGTTCTATTTTTCCACAAAATTTTTGAAGCCCTTTGTATGTTGTTCCAACTCAGCAATCCTGTATAGTTTCTGAGAAGCAGTTGGTGGGTTTGAACCACCAACTTTGCGATTAGCAATCCAGTGCTTATCCTACAGTGTACATAAATCACTTAAAACAGAAGCTAGGCCTATCCAGAGAAGCAGCGATGCCAGAGATGGAGGCAGCAACGAAGATGTGGAGAGATGGAGTGGCTGGGGGCTCTAGACTTAAGGACAGAGAGGGGCTGTATGCTGGCGGTTGGCGTGCAATATACCCTTTGGTTGTATGAATGGTTATATATTCCTGAGTGCTTCAGTGCACCTCAAAAAAAAAAAAGGGGGGGGAGATTTGGAAGCAAAAAAAAAAAAAAGCCAGAAGCTAGGAAATATTAAGCATTTTAAGTGTTTGCAATGGTAATTACTAACATTATATTGTGATTCTACAAAACAAGATCTAGATCTTGGATATAAAATTGATTATGCTTTGTCATTCCATACAGAAGAGGGCAAAGAGGGTCAAACAGCTTCTTCCCTGAATCCGTTATGCTTATTTATCAGAAAGTCAAAAGTCCCAGGAAACTTTACTCCCCAGTATTTCAATATAGCCTGCAATTCTCAAAGATATGTTAACCCTTTAATGCAGTTTTAATGATCCCTTCTAATTATGGTGCACACTTCCTCTTTGACTCTGCCTTTTAAGCTGTTAGTTAATGTAAGAGAATAATCATGGTCTGGTTAAGAAAGAAACATAAAACAGATTCCCCAAATAAATTCCAGTATTGTTTAAGGAGAGGAGCATACATGTGTACCTTAAGCACTAAGAGTTAACTTACCTGTTCATCTGAAGCTAGATTAGTAAACAATGGAACAATTTCACTTTTCACACTTTCTAATTCCAAAACTTTTGCAAATTCACCCAATTTGGAAGCAGCAGCACGTCGGACCATTGGTGTGTCATCTGAGCATAGAGAACGGAAGTGTCTGCAGCAAATAAAAAAAAGGATTTCCCTCAGATACCACTGATTAAATGCCCCCCTACACACACACACACACACACACCTCATTCATTTTAAAGGTTTTCTCTTACAAACATCAGTGATTAGGCTTCTACTTATAGTAGTAACAAAAACAAACCCATAGGTACATTCAACTGGACAACTAAAAACTGATGCCATCAACCCACTCTCCTGATATTAACCATTCACTGGTTAACAGGGTAGTACATAAGTTGTTAGCTATGAGTTCCCAATAACCTCAAATGACAACAACAAAAATGGCGTATCCTTGGTACAATAGTGAATAACTGCTATCAGGACTGACTGTGAGCATTGGAAATGTAAAGGTAGATGTTTTATAACAAAAGGAGGGGAGTGGTTGATTTTACAGTCCAGGATCGGAGGTCCCTGGGAACATCAGTGACAAGAGCAGAGTGTGGGAGCCTACACAGAGAAGCAGTGATGCCAGAAATGGACGCAGAGACGACGTGGAGGGGTGAAGCAGCTGGGGACTCTGGACTCAGGGAGGGAGAGAGGCTATGTGCTGACTGCCAGGGGGCAGGTTTGTGGGGTGTACCCTTTGGTTGTTTGATGATGCGTGGAGGGAACTTTAATCATTGCAATGAAACGAAATACAATAAATAGGATGAATGTACAGCTGGTGTTCACCCATGCAAACTATCACATGATTCAATAATAATTTTTAAAATGCCATTATCTTACTGTCTAATTTCTGCCTTGATAGCATTGGAAGCCCTGGGATAGCAAACGCTGAACAAACCACACGCAGATGTGCGAGAAGTGAACCAATCCCCACTTGCTAGGCGCTTCACCAGGGGTACAAAATGAGCTTCCAGAGCCACAGGAGTATGTTCCTGGGAGATATGCCTCAGGGACTCTACGGCCTTGTCACGAACGACAGTCTCTTCCACAGTTGCCAGACTTTCCAAAGGAGGCTGAATAAACCAAAAAGAAAACTTGCAGGTTAGATAAAGATTAGCACCTTTTAAAGCGACTGAAGAGAGGTGGTACATGTAACCAGAATGTTAGCTCCATCATACCAAAAGGCAACTTTCAGTTCACACAGTGCTAACATATGGTGTGCACAACCTGAAGACATGACTTCTGTAGGGCAGCCAAGATCTCATGTCCCAGATGGCAATTCCCAGATGGTGTCTACAAATGACACAGTAAAAGAGACTTGACACAACATTAATATTATTGTGAGCTGAATCACTAGGTTTAAGATATGTAGCCAAATTCAGACAGGGAGGATCATGCATATTTTCTCAAAAGTACGTGCAAAACTGTGACCAACATCAGGCACCACAATTACATGATAGCATCTTGTCAGGCCACTGAGTTTATAGCCTTCTGAGTTATCAGTTCTACTATTCCTAGAGGTGCAAGTATCCATTGTTAACTTCTACAACTCAGTTTATCCAACCTATAAAAGGCTGAATACAAAATCACTTTTTTCAGACTGCAGCTGCATCTTCCCATGAGTCATACATACAGCTGAAGGGAGGTTCAGATAGATCAAGTAAAGAGCACAAAGATGGAAGGAAACCTGGCAGCTTAAGAAGTAAGAGACCAAAGGGGTTGAGACTCTGGACTAGGGTCATTAACTGAATATGACAAAGCCAAGTTAAAACAGACTGGTTTTCTGAACCTCTGGTCTTTCTGGGTTTGTATTTGGTCTCTGGTATGATGTTCAGCATATGCCATAAGCTGCAAATGTTAACATATAACATCTACTTGTAGAGACCAACAGACTGAAACAGAAGGATGAGTCAAAGGAAAGGAATGCCAGCTTAATAATACATTTCCAAAATTATCTGATACACAGAAAACAAGCAACAAAATAAGTCAACTTCTCTAATATTTCAAAAACCCTTTGAAAAGACAGCTTCTAATTTATCTGTCCCATGGCTATTCAAACCTTCTTTCATGCAATCAATATACTAGATAATCACTAAGAACTACCACTACTAAGGAGCCCTGGCAGAGCTGTAGAATAAGCACTGGAATGCTAAGTGCAAGGTCAGCAGTTCAAACTCACTAGCTGCTCTGCAGGAGAAAGATGAGGCGGGCTGCTCCCATAAAGATTTACAGTCTTGGATACCCTATTGTTGTTGTTGTTGTTGTTGTTGTTAAATGCCATCCAGTTGGTTCCAAACCGTAGCAACTCTGTATAGGGTTTCCGAGGAGCAGCTGGTGAGCTTGAACCATCGACCTTGTGGTTCACACTGACTTTGCAGTCCAGCACATGAACCCACAGCACAGGGTCAATCCATGAGTCAGAATCAACTCAATGGCAATGAGAGGGTTTACTCTCTTGATATGAATGCTGCCTATTTTCCCAGACCCTTCTTATACTGTCCCTTGACCATCATACTCGTGTATTCCTATAAGCCCCAACACTTTATATTCTAGCAGTCTAGAACCCAGTCTGTTTCATGCTTCCAAGCTTCTGAAAGTCATTCTTTGAACAGAAGATTGTTGTATTCTAGACACTGAATACAACAAAAGTAAACTAGACAGATAAAGTTTCCTGTTCTGATGGAACTTACTTCCAAAAGGAGGAAGATACCAAACTAAGAAGGAAACAATTCCATGGCAATGAACACTCTGTAAAGAAATACAACAGAATGATACTGACAGGAAAGCTATTTCAGGTTGGATGCCTATATGTTAAGTCAAGTCTATACGCAGCCAAAGGTCCTAAGGCAACAATGAACTTGACTTATTCAAAGAACAGAAAGGAGACCAATATGATTGGAATGAGGTTATCCAAGAAAGAGCACAGGCTAAAGTCAAGGTTGTTGTTAAGTGCCGTCGAGTCGGTTCCAACCCATAGCGACTCCGTACAAGGCTGTACAGAGTTTCAATTTTCTAACAATGGCAAGGAATGATCCAAATGCTGAGTGGATGGGAAGCAAGAACAGAAGGAAGGGGTTGTTGTACAGGAATCCTGTATAGGGTTTCAGAGGACCAACTGTTAGGTTTGAACCCACCTTGCAGTCCAGGGCTTATCCTACAGTGTCACATGCTAGTAGGATACCACTGTAATAATGGATGATCCGAGGTGATAATGGTAGAGATGGAGGCAAGTGCACTGATTTGGAATACATGGAAAATATATACAAGGAGCTACTGGAGAGTCCTGGAGGCGCAACAGGTCTAGTCCTCAACTGGTAACCAAAAGGTTGGTGATTCATCCCACCCAGTAGCACTGCAGGAGAAAGACCTGGCAATCTACTTCTATAAAGATTACAGCCACAAAAATGTGTATGTTGGGGGGGAGGGGGATAATAATCATGTGGAATAGTTCTACTCTGTCACATGGGTTCACTAAGAGATGAAATCGACTCAAGGGCATCCCTGCAAAACCATAGGCATTACTGGGAATCCCTGGGGGGCACAAATTCTTATGTACTCAACTACTATCCAAAATCTGGCAGTTCAAACACACCCAGCGGTGTCTCAGAAGACAGAGCTGCCAATCTGCTCCCCATAGGTCACAGTCTTGAAAATTCTGTAGTAATTCTGCCATGAATCAGAATCAAATCAATGATAACTAGCAACAACAACAATGTAATAGTTCCAATGAATTAGATGTGGGGAATTCTAAAAAGAGCATTCCAGAACGCCTTCTAGGCTTTGGCTTATGTGACTGCGTAGATGGCAATACCATTTACTGAGGCAGATTTTGGAAAATAGATTGAGTTTTGTTTTAGGTATTTAAATGTGAAATGTCTGATATCTGAGTAGAAAAATCATAGGCAGTTGGATATACAAGAAGGCTTCAAAAAGTTCATGGAAAAATTCACTATATTTTCATCTCACTTTTCACAATTTTTTTTCACCACCTTGTATATATCTAAGTTCATGAAAAGGTCAGACATAAAAACAGAAATTGTGAGAGTCAGTACCATAGAGACAGTATTTAAGCCCTGAAGCATACATCCCTTCCTGACTTGTCCAACTATTGCATTCCTAGTCATCCTTCAAAACCTAGTTCAGACATCATCTATTCAGTTAATCATTTGTTGACACACAGGGTAGAAACTAGAAACCTCTTTCTATTCACAATGGTCTTCTTTAACATTTTAACATAACATCCATACAGTATATAATAACTGTTCAACTAAATTGAACTGAACTCACCAAATTCACAAAGTAATTCAGAGCAAAAAGTTATACTAACAACTATGTTGTTGTTGTTGTTGTTAAGTGCCGTCGAGTCGGTTCCGACCCATAGCGACCCTGTACAGCGTTTCCGAGGGTGTAAATCCTTACGGGAGTAGAAAGCCTCATCTTTCTCCCGCGGAGCGGCTGGTAGTTTCGAACCACTGACCTTAAGGTTCGCAGCCCGATTCGTAACCACTACGCTACCAGAGCTATAGACAAACTTTATGACCGTTACCAAAACAGTGACAAAGAAGATAATTAAGACTTTAAATTTTCCGCAGAAAATAATTAAGAAATGTAAATCAAAATTACAAAAGATGCCACATCACATCCACTAAGACAACTATAATATATAATAAAAAAAAAAAAAAAAAAAAAAGGCGAGAGAAAATACAAGAATATAGAACTCTTGTATATTACTGCTGGAAATGTAAAATGAACAGTTGTAGTTACCTTTGAAAAGTTGGTAGTTCTGCAAAAAGTTAAACATAAAATTACCCAACAATTCCACTCCTAAGTATATGCCCCAAAGAACTGAAACAGATGTTCACACAAAACCTTGTACATGAATGTTCACAGCAGTGCTACTGCCAAAGATCAAAAGGTGGAAATAATCAACTGGTGGAGAAAACAAACTGTGGTTCTTATTTAAAACACAGTATTATTCAGCCATAATAAAATGTTAACACATTAAAACATGGATGAGCGTTGAAAACATTTAAGCGAAAGAAGTCAGTCACAAAACATCACACATTGAATGATTTCATTTCTATGAACTATCCACAATAGGCAAATCCATAGAAAACAGATTAGTAGTGGCCAGGGAGTGGGAGGAGAGGAGTGTCTCATATTAGGTGTAGGATTTCCATTTGGGATAATGAAAATGTTCTGGAACTAGAATAACAGTTACCCAACACTGTGAATGTATGTTGTGGTTAGTGCCAAGCTGAATCAGTTCCGACTCACAGAGGTGGGAACATCCAGCCCTCAGGACCATATGTTATTTTGTTAAGTGCTGTCAAGTCTGCTCTGACCCATAGCGACCCTGTACAGGATTTCTGAGGAGCAGCTGGTGAGACTGAACCACCGACCTTGCAGTTCAAACAGCACTGCAGCCTGGCACATTAATCCACAGCACCACACCAGGACCATATGTTGTTGTTGTTGTTGTTGTTGTTGAGTGCTGTGGAGTAGATTCCAACCCATAGCTACCCTGTATAGGGTTTCCAAGGAGCAGCATATAAGACCTGTGAAATCACTTGGTCTGGTATTGCCAAGGCAACCACTGTTCCAACTCATAGCGACCCTATATAGGGTTTCCAAGGAGAGGCTGGTGAGGTTTAATATCCAACCTTGCAGTCAAACATATTAACCCACAGCACACTAGGACTCCAGCCATTATATTTTGATGGTGGTAGTGGTGGTGTGTAGTGGAGTCAGTTTCAACTCATGTCACAGGGAATCCTGTGGAACAGCTGGTAGTTTCAAACTGCTGACCTTGAGTTAGCAGCCCAACTCATAACCACTATGCTACCAAGGCTCCTTAACTATTAGCCACGCCAAGACTGCTAGCCATTACATTATCATTGGTGTTATTGTTGTGTGCCATCAAATCAATTCCAACCCATAGTGGCCCTGTATAAGGTTTCTTAAAGAGTGGCCTTATAGTTCAAAGCAACTTTGCAGTCCAGCACATTAACCCACAGCACCACACCAGGTCTCCTAGCCATTACATTGTTGTTGTTGCAAAGTGCCAGAGCTTCTTAGCCATTACATTAGGGTGAATTAATTAATTAAATGTCTGACAAAATATAGCAAGCTAATTTTTAAATTGATAATTTTATATGGCCCAAGAATGATGTTACAAATTTTGGCAGAAAAAAGGTTCCCCACTCCTGCTGTATATGGTTTCTGAGGCGTGGCTAGTGGGTTCTAACTGCTGCCCTTGCAGTTAGAAGTCCAGTACTTATCCTACAGCGCCATGCCAATTTCTCCTAATTATGTGTATTTTTTAACTGCAAGGTCGACAGTTCAAACTCACCAGCTGCTCCTTAGAAAGCCTATAAGGGTCGCTATGGGTCGGAATCAACTTGACGGCACTCAACAACAACCCATAAAACGATCATGACCTAAATTTCCTAAGCTACTTCATACAGTGCTATGCAAAGGGGCTATCACTAAAAAATATATCATTTGTACTTCAGAAGTACTACAAGGAAGGGAGGCAGCATACAAGTACTTACCAACAGACAATGAGCAAAGTCAGGACCTCCCACAAAGCCAGTGAAATTTCCCAGCTGTTCAGCAAGAGCTAGCAGTACTTCATCTTCATCATAGATTGTATCTGTGTAAGACAACAGCAGGGTACTCATCAACAAAGAGAGCTGGCCCAGAGCTGGGCACTCCTGCAAAACTAGGAAACGACTCAGTATGTAAGAAGCCTTAATAGCAAGTTAAGCACTTGGTTGTTAAGCACAAGGTCGGCAATTCAAACCCACCCAGCCAGTCTACTGGAGAAAGATAAAGTAGTCTGCTTCTGTAAAGACTGTTGTTGTAGTTCTAAGTGCCAACAAGTCGGTTCCAACCCATAGCGAACCTGAACAGGGCTTCCGAGGCTGTAAATCTTAATGGGAGCAGAAAGCCTCATCTTTCTCCCAAGGAGCAGCTGGTAGTTTCGAACTGCTGACCTTGCGGTTCACAGCCCAATTAGTAACCACTATGCTACCAGATGATTACAGCCTTGGCAACACTATGAGGCAGTTCTTTTCTCTACTACAGAGTTAATACCAGTCAGAATTGACTCAAATGCTTGTTTTTAAGATGGACAACTCACAATCTAACAGGGTTTCCTCTCTTCCTACATCTGTTTTACAAAAGGAATTAGACAAACATATTTCTGTATCAATTACTTCCCTATTAGCTAAACAATGCCTGAATATGTCTGGACACAATATGACAATATACTTTGTCCTGCTTCTTTCCTAGGAAGCACTAGGCTCACTTTGTTATTGTTTTGTTGTTACGTTTAGGTTGAGTTAGTTCCAGTTCCAACTCATAGCAACCCTTTATAGGGTTTCCAAGGAGCAGTTAAATTAGTGTGTTTGAACTGCCTTAGTTCAAACCAGAGGGTAACATAATGTTGTGGATGGCAAGCCATAAGAAAAAGGCAAACTTTTGAAAAGCACTAGAAAATGGCCTTACACAACTACTCTTTTAAAACACACACACATTTTAAAACAGATTCACATACCAGTAAGGAATGGCAGCAGTTCAGTTCTAGTTCTTTCTACTCCAAGAGCTAGAGCAATTGTTGATAGCTTCTTAATACTGTTGAGACGGAGCTTTTCAAAAAGAAAGTGGAAACAACAAAATAAAGAAAGATTGCAATTTAGATTTAAAAAAAAAAAAAAACACCACCACCACAGAGGGGTTGCAAACAGGTGAGTATAATAAGGTAGCGATAAGAAAGAGGAAAACCTTCATTTAGATTTTATCCTATGAGGAACCTCAGGCGCAGAGTAACAGAGGGCTTCCTTCGTGAGGACGATTTCCTAGTAAAAACACTCTGCTGAAGGGGCCAAAAAAGAAATGAATGAAAGAGAACACAATATCCAGGAAGTAAAGTAAAGTTATAAAAGTGAGAATTCTGGGAGTGGTGAAGGAAGCAGATGAAACGGTTGAATACAACTCCTGACTTTTTAAAGAAAGTTCCATCACAGGTAACACACCGACTCATCGAGGTTCATCAGTCACCCAGCCCTCGTTTCATCCAACAAGCCCAGCCAGATTCTAGCCTGGGAAAAAGGCATTTCACTAGCACTTCAAAGGCCCCCGGCAGCCAGCGGCCCGTAGTTCGTTCCCAGCCCCCGGGTCGCCCACCGACCAGGATGGTGGCCCCCGGGTTGGGCGCGGCGTTTACCACTGTACGGCCCGGAAGGGGCATCCGGGCACCGAGCCGGTTCCCCAACAACCGCCCGGACGGCGTCGGGCGCTGAGACGACTCGCCTCAGACGGTCGGAAGAGATGGGGCTGGAGAGGTCCCCGGGAGAGTAGGCTAGTGACACAACCTCCCACAGCTCTCTCTCCTTCTGTGCCTCGAGTTTCCGCTCCAAGCCCGGCTCTTTGAACGCCCGGGCCTCGCCTAAAGTGGCGCGGGCCTTGCCCCTTCCCTACAACGCGCCCGGCCGAACCCGCCTCAGCTCCACAGCCTGAGCCCAGTACCTGCACGTCCTCATTACGGAGCTCATCGATTAAAACTGCGATCGGGTATAGCGAATCGTCTCCATCTCCGCCCGCTGCCCCCGGGCCGGACACGGACCCTGCCGCGCCCGCCATGTTCTTCCTTCTCCCGCTGGTCGCCACTGCCCGCCCTGCGTCCTGGCCCCGCCCCCCGCTGTGGGGGCGGGGCTAGGGGCCGCGCGCTGGCTCGCTGGACGGGAAGCTAGTTATTCTCTGGCTGTTGGACTGCCCCGCCCAAGCACGGTTATGGAAACTAGTTACAACTCCAGAAAATTAGAGTACGATTACTGCCGAAAGAAACGAGGGCAGGCCTTTCCTGTGGTCTCGCTGTGATCTGAAGTATCACTAAGCGTTCCACACTGGGCCCACCTAGGCTTCAGACCGGCTTAAGATGGGTAGTCAGGATCTGGGAGGACCTGGGGCCTGTCTCCCCGCCAGAATTTGTGTATCGGGCTCCTGCTCCAAAAATCAAGTAACGCAGGCGGTGAGAGAAAATGAACAGTGCTGTCCAAACTCCCCAGTCAATATTTTTTCCACTTTTCTCCACGCAATCTGTTAAAAACATGCTGCTCTCTTGTTTTCCTGTTTCTTTTTCAATTTTGGTACTGGAAAGATGCCTTCTGTTGTATTTTTTTATCCCATTTTTTTAGCTTGATAGAAATAAAACAAGCAAGCGAAACCTTAATCTTACCAAGTTGGTGGTGTTGATTGTTGATAAGTGTCGTTGAGTAGGTTCCGAGCCAAACTAACCCTGTAGAGGGTTTCCAAGGAGCAGCTGGTGAGCTTGAACCATCGACCCTGCTTCAAAGAGACTTTAAAGTCCAGGGCATTAACCCACAGCGCCACACCAGGATTCCTCCAAGTTGCTGGAGTGTACAAAATTTGCTTGTATAAAAAAAAAAGCCTACACTGGCCTCCTTGACCACCTGGAATCCTCAGAGGAAGCACACGGGGAGGAGGGGAGGTCTGTGACTTACAAAACCTAGAGTTTTCATTTGCCCTTCTGAGGACCGTACTGAAAACTAAAATGTCCTATCTTTTTTTGTCCTTGTTAATTTGGACTAGAATTTATTATCAGGGTGATAATTACATATGCTGATTGATTGTAAGCTCTGTGATGGTAATTTTATGCTTCGGAATAATGAAAATGTAAAATTATTAATAAATACAATTTAGATGTCTTCTTAAAAGTAAACACATTTAAAAAGGTGTTTACTAGTAGTGAAAGTTTGGGAATCAATGCACCTGAACAGTATGTCTCAAATCAGAATATATCCGCTCTGGGAATGTTTTAATTTTGTTTTCACTCTCATATTTTTTCTTTTAGATTTGCTTAAGAATCTCCTGGAATATATGGATGACCACTTTATAACTTAGTTGTTAAGTGCCATTGAGTTGTTTCCGATTTGTAGCGACCCTGTACAGCATTTCCAAGGAGCGGCTGGTGGGTTTGAACCACCAACCTTGTGGTGAGCCGTTCATTGTTTATCCTACATGCCACATCAGAATTACCACACAATTTCAGTACCTACATCTGTGTGTGTATTTCAGAGTTGCTTATTGTTGTTCTGGGGTGATAAGACAAGAATAGTGATGGATTTAAAATGAAAATGATACTTTCTGCTTTCGTATGCAAAATCAAAAGCTAAATGACATCATGGGACTGCACTGTCCCAGAAGTTCTAACAAAGAAAAGTGAGACAATTGAGATATCAGAAGTCACTTGGTGGCACAAGTGACTTGAACTCAAAAGATGCTATGCTGTGACAGGAAATACCAGTCAAAGATGATTTAATTTCAGCAAAGCAGCATTATTTGTCACATTAAATTGCTATAATGTTATTAATATGACTAGTATTAGTTTTATAGCTTCGGTTCATTTAATTTGCAAATCTGCTTCAGTATTTTAGTTACATAAAAACTATACATAAAAGGACTTTATGTTGTTAAGTGCCATTCAGTCAGTTCTGACTCATAGCAACCCTGTATACTGTTTCCAAGGAGTGGGTGGTGGGTTTGAACCACTGACCTTACAGTTAGCAGTCCAGTGCTTATCCTATTACTCCACATCAGGACTCCAATGTACATTTGTACATTTAAGTAATATTATAATAAAAACCTTTTACGTTGACTGGAATTTTAGGAGTTCCTAGGTGGAATAAATGATTAATGCACTCAGCTGCTAACCAAAATGTTGAAGGTTCAAGTCCACTCAGAAGATCCTCAGAAGAAAGGTCTGGCAATCTGCTTCCATAAATATCAGCCATTGAAAATCCTATGGAACACAGTTGTATTTTGACACATAAGAGGTCTCCATGGCCCCACCTAGAACTTTCTGAGGTGAAACATTCCTACTTGAAAAGACATGCAGACCAACCCAGAACAGCTAGGAAAACAGAAGATTCTTACTGAAAGAAAGACTAGCAGAAAACAAACAAATAAAATACAGTTCAGCTGTTAGATTATCAAGCAAGCTTTTTGCTTTGGTGGTGGAAAGAAAAGTCAGCCCATCAAGGAAAACCTCGTTCTAAGACTGAAACTCAAAGGGAGCCCGTGAGCAGTCTAGTGTGCTTGCTGGTGACCACCTGGGTCTACTGGTGAGTGGAAGTGGAGGAAATGCAGCAATGAAGACATGGGCTGAATTTGGCCACATTCCATTGGCACCTGTTGACCTTGAGATAAGTGAGAGGAAAGGAAGTCTGGCTGATCTGAAGTTTAGGGAGCTGTGTGAACCCCTGAGCCCATGGGCACTGACCCAGTCACTGGGGCTCAAGCTGAGAGTGAAGCGGCCAACTGATATGAAGTGTGGGGAGGCATGCGTGAATTCCCAAACTTGCACCTAGTACCTATTTGACCTAGCTTGGATAAATATAGTTGATACTGTGAACAAATACAAATTGCTACAATTTGAAGAACTGAACCTTTGCTTATGGATGCAGTTGTTCAAAATTCCAACCGAAATGGAAGGATTCTTCATATCAAGGGTCAAGCTTGTTTTCTCAGTGCACTGGGTTGATTTGTTGTTGTCAAGTGCCATTGAGTCAATTCCAACCCATAGCGACCCTGTATAGTGTTTCCAAGGAGCAGCTAGTGAGCTTGAACTGCCGATCTTGAGAGTCAAAGCAACTTTGCAGTCCAGTGCATTAACCTACAGTGTAACACCAGGACTCCACACTGGATTGATAGGACGGGCAATCTAGACATTGGCTATCAAAAATTGGGGGCTATAAAGGCACAAAGTGTCTGGCTTATTAGCTTTCATGAATGTGCTTAGTTTCAGAATGAGGGGGGTAATGTAGAATCCCCACTGGATAATTTTCCTCTTTTCCAGATGGATCTGGTGAAAGGGGATGGGAGATGATGGTGATAGGATTTTATGATCCAACTGTGAGTAACTGTAAGTAGGATTAATTGCAATAGTCAACAACTGTAAATGTAGATGTATAACTAAAAGGGGGAAGTAGTTAATCTTTCATTTCAGTAACAGACGATCCCAGAACCATCAAGAAGGAAGCGTGTGAGTGGAGCGTGAGATCCTGCCTAGAAAAGCGATGATAGCAGAGACAGTGGCAGGGGCGATGGCATGGAGAGACAGAGCAGCTGTGGACTCTAGGCCCATGGACTCAGAAAGACTGTGTGCCTCTGGACAGGAAGCTGGCTTGCAGAATGTGCCCTTTGGACTTTCACATGAATATTTTTTTGTTTTGTTTTGCATGTGTACATCAAATATTTTTGCTTTCTTGATTTGTGAAAAATAAGATGCAAATGGTAAATCTCAAGGAGGCAGCATGGTAACTGTTGTTGTAGGAAGGGGACTGTAGTTTAGATGGAACAAAACATATGGTTGATTGAAAGTAAAACTAAGGATCTTGTCTGTTATGAAAATTTTTTTTCAACAATAAAGTTAAAAAAAAGAGGTCTCCAGGGGGTTGAAGGAGTCCCGGTGTGGCACTGTGGGTTAATGCACTGGACTGCAATAGTTGGTTTGATGTAAAGGCATGAAGTGACTGGCTTACAAGTTTTGAACAGGGAGTTTAGTTTCAGAGTGTGTGGGGGAAAGTAGAAGCCCCACTGAATAGTTTTCATCTTGTCTAGACGGGTCTGGTGAAAGGAGATGGAGATGGGGATAAGAATCTTATGATTCAATAGTGAATAATTGTTATCAAGACGAATTGCAACTGTCACAACTGTAAAGCTAGAAGTTCTGTAACAAAAGTGGGGGAGTAAATCTTACAGTCTAGGAACAGAGGACCCTAGGGCCATCAAGGGATAAGAGCATGCGTGGAATGTGCGACCCTATCCAGATAAGCAGTGACACCAGAGATGGAGGCAGAGATGATGACATAGAGAGACAGATCAGCTGAGGACTCCAGACTCATGGAAAGCGAAAGGCTGTGTGCTGGAGGCCAGGAGGCAGGCTTGCAGAATGTGCCCTTTGGTTGTTTAAATGATTATAGACTCCTGAGTCTTTTTGTGTACATCCCCCCAAAAAACCAAAGGGAATAGAGGCAAATACTGTTGAATGATGATGCACAGAGGAGATTGTAATCATTGCAATGAAACGATGAGTGTAAAACTGATTTCTCCCATGTAAACTATCACTCAATTCACAGTAAAAACTTAAAAAAAAAAAAGTTACTCAATTTATAAAGACAAATTCATATATTAAGCTTAAGATTTGAAAATAAACAGCTTTAATAAATAGTGATTGAATCACACACACACACAAATAGTAGGTTTGAACTTTAAGGTCAGTGATACAAGCTCAACAGCTGCTCCTCAGAAACCCTGTATAGGATCGCTATGGGTAGGAACCAACAAGGGCACTTAACAACAACAATGGGGTTGAAATTGACTCAATGGTAACTAGAGTTTTCAGGATCACTTTTCCTTTAAAAATGAATCCATATACTATTTAAGTTTCAGCAACAGTGAACTAGCAAGTATTTGTATTTAATTACCAGCTAGTAGATCAGAAGGGGCTCCTATTGGCTTGGCGAGGAGAAATAAAAAATGTTATCATCAGCAATGACAAAAGAAGCAAGCCCAGGAGAGGCATATATTGTCATCTAGATACAAATCAAACTTTAAAAGGGCCTCAGTATGTGAAAAAATTGATAATTAGCTACTTTGTTTCAAAACTTAAAT